ACTCGGAAAATTGAAAATTTTCTGCTAATTTAATTGTAGAAATATACGAGTAACAAAATCTGCGGAAATTCTTAAACTCTTTATATGAATTATGATACATCGATTTTCTATATGGTAGAGAACGTTACATAATATCGGCGAAGCTTTTAAAATGATTGTTTCCCGATAAAAAGTTTATTGATATTATAAAATGTTTTTTCATCCATTACAACGATCACATACATAAAAATAGGAAAAAGACGGACTAGTGGAGATTGATATTAAAATTGAGCGGTTATATTATTATTTGCAAACTGACATTGCGAATTGCATTGTTATTTTTTACAAAACAAAATACGTCTACATTGAAAGAAAATAAAATGTAACAAAAAACAATATGGAAGGATATCTGATGGATCGAGTATCATTGTATCATGTATTATTTCTTATTCATCTTTCTTTGGTTTTGATATTCCAACATCATATTCAACATTATATTCTTTCTGCCTGCAATAGTTGTCTGCTTCTATTTTTCGACGTGCATTTTATTTTCTCGCTATTCAGCTACCCACTGAATGTCCTTCACTTTCCGCTTTCTGTCCCATCTGCTCTGATCTCTATTTCCGTCATGCCGCTAAATTCAACGTTTTTCCTTCCTTTCTTCTTAGTGAACCACTGCTGCTAAATTGAAAAAAATCGACGGATATTAAAAAATAATATTCTTTAGAAAGAGAGAAAGGGAGAGAGAGAGTATATTCTTTAGCTTGATAATTAATCGAATCGAGTTAAATTCAATTTGTTAAAGATTTCATTGAATGTTCCGTTTGTTAAAGACGACCTCAATATTATAGAAAAGAATTTTTTTATTGAAAATATATCGATTCCAAGTAGTCAAAGAAAAATTTGTGGTTGAAAGAACATCTATTAGAACACCTTCTTTAGTCAGGAAACGCATTTGTTCTGCGCTAACGATCAAGAGATCTTTTTGGTTCTTATATTCCATTTTTATCGCTACAATCTTTTCGTGTACTGTTATTACTTTTATCTTATAGCGTGTATTTTATTTCTACTAGGTACAACTGCCCGTTTGATTCAACCGTCCGTCTCTGTCAGGATAAAATACAATTAAAAGTAAACGAATATTTAATAAAAAAAATAACATGCTAAATACGCCTGATTAAAAAAATAGAAGCGATTGAATGAACAAAAAAGTTCAATTTATTATAACGCACTTTATATTGAAAATTATTAGGAAAAGGAATAATTTCAAAATATTTTTTAAAAAAGTGTGTAGACACACACACGCGCGCGCATATTATATATATATATATA